TTCATGCAATTTTGACTTTTCTTTGTATCACAAATCTGCTTCTCTCTGAAAGTGTAGTTTCATATTACATCTAATCCAGTGTAACAGAAGATTGCTGCTGAAAGATGCAGTCCTGCCCTGCTCCTCCTTCCCTCTGAAAAGACATGTGGCCACAGAGTGAGTCAATGCAGTGTGCTTTTGGAGCAGGGAGGGGAGTGTGTTTGGTGGCACATCAGTAAGTTGAATCATTTCTGAGAACCGTTTGTAACTTTATTATGTTCATGTGAATAAACAGATGCAAAACAAAACTGAAATACGGAGTTGACATCTGACTGCAAACGTTCTCTGCCAGCAGAACAAGCTGGCCTGTATGCAATACAGAGAACTCTGCAGTATGGGGAGTGGTAATATTATATGAAGATTTGCATCCATGGATCACTGATAAATTGTTATTTTGATGGTCATCAGAGGTAATTTTCATATAATGACTGATTTATTTTAGTCAGTTCCTTTTCACCATAACCTACATCTGACACTAACTTGAACCTTTAGGAATATAGGACTGAAACTTCCTTGTCATTAAATGCAATTTCCTGTAGGATACATTAAGTCATCCAGAAAGGTCACAAGACCATTCACTCTTCATTCACTCTGAACACTACATGCCTCAAAACATCCCCAAATACCTGAAGATAAAGTTGAGCTTTCTAAGAAAAAAGCTCAAACGTGACAGTGTGACATAAAAAGTGAGCAGTGAGAAGGACTACTGCCAGTACATTACAAGGGGTTTGTAACCTCTAACTTACGCCACACTAAGGACTCGTGCTCAGTTTCAGGACTTGTTGCAAAGCATCTGGTTATACAAGTGGTGGCTGCCAGCGTCAAAGCACAATTCATGCATCTAATTGCACTTTCAAGTCCATCTGGACACAGCAGCAGCTACTCCAGAAGTGCCAATAAATGTCTGGAGAGAGCAGGAGGCAGCTGGCTGCCAGGACAGCGTGCTGTGCTCCGTGCCACTCACAGGACAGAAGCAGACAGTTGGATGGAATTGCTCTGAAGGCTAGATCTGGGCTCCATGGCCCACACTATTTTAAGCACCCACTGGTAGTGGATGACCTTAGGAAGTAGTGTGTGTGTCTACAGAAAGCAGCAAATTAAAAACAAAGCCCACTACACACAGGGGTCTTTTCTGGTCTTACCAGGGGGCAGGGGCTTTCCTGACTCCAAATCTAATTACTGGTTTAGCCTGGAGCATGTGTGCAAGACATAAAAGCAGGCATCTTTATGACTCTATGCCTAAGCGTCCCCATCTATAAAATGAAACTAGTAATGCAGATTTTCTTTTCAGAACTCGGTGTTTTAATGAATTTTTAGCATTTCTCTCAAGGCCTACTGGTTTCAAAGTTGCCTTGAGCGAAGGAAGTATTCATAACAATTGAGAGATTTGATTCAAATTTCAATTCACTTTTATGGCCTGGGGTCACTGTCTTACCAGCTGAAAATCCTTCACTTAAGCTTAGCCAGACCTGTTGAAACTATGGCACGTCATAATACGGAAGATTCCATGAGAGTAGAAATTTTGGAACCCGTGACACTGGTGGGAATGTTCATGACTTTGCTAAGAGTATCCACATCCGTTTCACACTTTCTGATTTTGCTCTTAATGTTTGATATTGGAAGATCTTTCTTCCTTTTTATGCTAGATGTTCATTCCACAGGTAAACCACCCCCATGCCAGTGGGACACTTTAGTATAAGTGGTTATTTTCAAGAGATCTGCTTTTCTGCTTTCCAGTATCTGCCAGATGAAGTTCCAGAAGACCCTCACATTGTGGGGTTTCTATTCTGGGATCTTATTTGTGCTTTTATGGAAAGTGAGATGATACTTTGTGATTGCAGACCGGTAAGAGGTTTCTGAGATGCTGCTGATCTTTGAGCACTCTGTCTGCTTGGTTTGCTGTAGCTCATCCTCGCTTCCTAACAGTGGGTGGTGGTTATCTCTAACAGAATGTGATACTGCAATAGTTGTGATTGTCTGACTAAGCTGAAGACTTCTACAAGCACGATGTGTGCTTTCTGGCCCAAAAGTGCATAGTTTTCCTCACTCCTTTGCGGTAAAGGTTGGTCTCTCTTGGAAGAGGTTTCTGTGCTAGAAATACAAAGTATGGATGGAGCATACAACTTCCAAGTCTAAGAAGGAATTTTGCTGAGTCACAGAAAAATACGGTAAGTAAATTTTAACCATATTATCAGACCTTTTTATTACATGAGTTTTCATGTTTTTATAGGAGCTGCTGTGTTCTCACTGTCCCCTCCATCTGGGAACAGCTGCTAAGAGAAGGGAAGAAAAAAAACGGTTTTTAGCTTTAAGCAAAAAAGGTAGAGTGACAACCAAAACCAGCTGTAGAATGCATGATATTGATACCCATGACTTTTGGCTATTACACATTCTATACTATTTGGAAACAAGAGACTGTTGTAAGAAGGACAAAAGAGCCTACAGAAAAGCAGAGTCCCCACAACCACTTCTGCCCTTCCATTAGCTAGCAGCATTTTGGAGAATCTAGCTAAAAATGTTAACTGCTGTCATCTGATTCCCACCTCTCCCCTACTCTTTCCCACAAAAAATTGCAATGGAAATTATTCTGAATGCATGCTAAGCAATGAAATACTGTGTTCAGTCAGTTCATTCATGTCAGTTAAGTTAGACATTGGTGGCAGTATGGAGATAATTCTTTTCAGATGTGTCATTTTGGTTTTAGCTTAACTATGGGGAAAGAGGCATCAGCGATGTTTTTGTCAGCATCTTTGCTCTGTGCTTGTAAGTTGAGGTCTCAGTAAGACTTATAATTTAGCCGCTTTATGGGTGCTGCCAGTGTGATCAGTGGTATCAAAGAGTTCTGCAGTTATTCTGCTCCCTGGGAAATGTCACTCTTCAGTCTGTCTTTGTTTATATTAAAATCATTGTAGGCTAATGCAGCAGCAGCACAGATAATGCTAATTTTCCTGAGTTCTCACTTAAAAGTTTCAGCTTCTCCAGCAGCCTCGGTCTCTGCTAAAAGAAAAGTCAAACTGATTTCCCCGTAATTTAGATCTGTTTGCATATCAATAGCAATGTGTTCAGCAAAAAGTCATTGTTTGTCACGGGTGGTTGTGGGCAGCAGAGGTATTATTGTCCTGTAAAGAAATTGTGTGTATGTCTTCCTTTCTTTAGCCATGATATAGTGTTGCTTTGTCCTTTGTAATGCATCAAAACACAAAAGGACCAGTTGCTCACAGATTTTATACAGCCTGACTTGGTTAAAAAAAAAAAAGCTTATATAGTTTCCAAGCCTGCTTGGTCAGTTGTAGGTAATGCAAGGGGACAGTAGAGCAGAAGTGGATGGTATACAGTGAAAAAATATCAGCTAGACTTTGATTCTGGTCTGGGACATACTTGGCCTCAGAAGACATCTATCTCACTGTAAAGTCAGTGAAATGCCACCTACAGAATGAGTAGTTTTAACATCCCTTTTTTCAGAATTCCAGCCTGCAGAGGAAATGGAGATGGAAAATAAGCATCCCTTGTTCCCAGGGCCTTAAAAGGACTACAGTCTAATCTCCAATTTGTGCTGAAAAACGTGCAATGGCAAGAATTTCTTTTCATGTCACGAAACAGGGCTACGGCCATCCAGAAGTCACAAACCTTTTTTCAAAGGTAACTGTGATTCATGGACTTCAGCAGCTGAGGAGAGCTTTATTGTGTTATTTTTGCAATAGTCACAAAGGATGGAAACCCCTTTGACAGGGGTAAAACCAGCGCAGGTTTAAAAATTGCCAACTGGTCGTGTATCCTTTCAACTGATTGGCTTAGTGGTGTTTTCCCATACTATTGTAATCCAAACTATAGGGTCTTTTATAATACTGGATTTGCCAAATATCAAAAGTTTCAAAAATCATTGGAGTTGTGATGTGTAAAGGTGACGTATGATGAGGCCCTGAGCTACCTGATCTGAACCTGAAGTTAGGCCTACTTAGAGCAGACGGTTAGACCTAACAACCCCCTGAGGTCCCTTCCAAGCTGAATTATGCTGTGGCTCTGTTATTCAGAAGAGCCTTGGGCTTCTCTCTCTTACCTGACTTGGAGAATTTCAGGTGAAGGGTTTGTACTTGATACAATTCACTGGCGTATCAGAGTAAGTTGCATTTGAAATCTATTAGAAATGTGATTTATTTTCTATTAAAAATGTTTTGGTCAAAGCATGTTAATGCCAAAATTAACGGTAGAGATGACAACTGAAAAAGCTGAAGTATTTATTGCTACATAGAGCTTCTGTTGCAATTTCTGCAACTGGAATTTTAAAACTAACAGAGGGGAGATGTAGATCAGATGTTAGGAAGCTCTTCTCTAGGAGGGTGCTGAGGTGCTGGCACAGGTTCTCCAGTGTTCAAGGCCAGGTTGGATGGGGCTTCCAACAACCCGGACTAGTGAAAGGTGTCCCTGCCCGTGGCAAGGGTTGGAACTGGATGAGCTTTAAGATTCCTTCCAACCCAAACCATTCTGTGATTCTGTGATAGTATATTCCTCCATCTTGTCTGGCTTTAGTTAATGCATTACTCTTTAGTTGTGAAAGATCTATGATTTTTGGGCAGTGGCCCTGATGGTGCTGCATACTTGGGCTGTACCACTATGAAGATCACCCCAGACAGTGAAGTGCCACCGATCCTTTCCTCCTCGTGAGAAGCCCAAACCCATAGGTTTCTGTGAGCTGTACCCAGCGCTGCTGGGTGTGACGGGATCAGTAACACAGTATCGCACGGGCGAAGAGGAGGCCGGGGGCGGCCGATCAGGTGCTGGTGCCCCCGTTATGCTGCGGAGGGGACACAAGCCCGCTGAGGTCTGGCGGAGAGGGCCCCCGCGTACGGAGCGCTGCCCGGGCGCGGAGCACACGTGGAGGTCCGCCGGCAGGCGCTGGTGCCGCCGAGCCCCCGGCCGGGGCCGGGGAGGGGCCGTCCCGCGGGGGGCGGTGGGGCCGGGCCGGGCACAGGCGGGGAGGAGCCCCCCGCCCCGGCCGGTAGCGCGCATGCACACAGCGGCGGCAGTGGCCCCTGAGCCCCGGTGGTGTGGGGTTTGCTGCGTGCCATGGCAGCGGGGTTGGAGCTCGGCTCTCTCCTCTTCGCCCTTGTCGCCTCTTTCGGTGGCCACCAGCCCGCTGGGGCCGCTGGAGGAGCCAGTGGCAGGAGGGGGGCAGCAGCCGAAGCCTGCGGAGGGAGGGTGAGTGGAGTGGAGCGGAGCGGAGCGCAGCGCTGTTGCTGCTCGGTCCCCCGCTCAGGCAGCCGCGTTCGCGGGGTGCGGTGTGTTAGGGGGGTGCCGAGAGCTGCCGGGCGCTGACCGGGGAGCGCCGCTGGGGGTGGGCACGGCCCCGTGGGGCAGCGGGCTGCTACCGCGGGGAAAGTGCCCTCGGCCACTGATAAAGCTGCCCCGGGGCGCTGCGTCTGGCAGTTCGTTAACTTGCGGCCCGGAGAGAGGGTGGCATGTCCCGGGAAGGGAATTGTGCGGGTGTCTCGCCCGGGGGTGGGAGGCAGTCCACAACCAGGGAGGGCCAAAAAGTCACTCGACAGGTCCTTCGCCACCAGCTCTCGCCTTCCTTAGGTCGACCTGCGCTGCGAGGAGGATAAAAGCGATCTCTTGGGCTTTGTTATTTTAATGATGCGAGGCCGGCTTGGGGTCTTAGCTTCGGGCCTGATCGTTATACAGAGGATGTAGGAAATTTGCGGGAGGGGGAAAGGGGGAGGAAGGTGATAAACGTTTTGTTACTTGGTCTTCGCCTTTTGTTCCTGTTTCTGGTGTGTTTTGCTGTCAGACTTTTCTTGTTTGCTGTCCCTGTTTTGTGTGTGTGTTTCTAAATAACTTTGAGATGTGGTTTTTTTTTGTGTGTGCTCTTTTTTCTTTCCTTTCTGCCGATGTGTAGTTACAAGCGTAGTTGAAGCGTGGTGATCCAGGAACTAGAGGGAACAGAACTGACTTTCATTGCTTTTCCTTTTTGTTAGACTGTCACTAAGGATTTTCTTGGTCTTAGATCACCTCCTTCGAGAACGTTACAGCAACACGCAGCTCAGGAGTTTGTAGGGCATAGTTTAATAAGGCGAAAGCATTGGAAAATGTGTAAAAAAAAGTGTGGAAAACCAAACTTCAAATCGTGATAAAGCTTAAGACCTGAATCTTTGTGTTGGTTGGAACTCCTTTAAGGTTTACATTCCCCTGTTAGGTCTTTTTAACTGAGAATGAGGAATAAAATGTTTTGGCGCAGTGTGTCTATTGTATGTTTCACCAGATGTGGGCAGGATGCTGCACAGGCTCGTACCCACCGCTGTGCATGTTTCTGTCAAGTTTTGCATCAGCTATCAAGTAAATTATCGCTATTAAAAAGTTGTAACACTTGATTAGTGTATTTTGGCCTTTATAGAAATACTCGGATGCAGTTTGTATTGGATTTGTTTTTGCTTACATAATACAATTGTGTGTATGAAACCTGAATGTACTGCAGTACAATTATTTTAATTTAATTATTTTGGCTGTCTCTTAGATCAGCAAAAATCACACTTTCCAATTAGCTTAAGCCGCCCTTTGTCTGTATTCCTCACAACCTATATAACAGTTTAGCTTATTAAATATTTGCATGTGTTTCTGGTTTTATTATATTTTCAGTTTCAAGTTTAGACTTCCCTCACCAATTTATTAGGTATCTTGACTGTTTAGTTTTAACTTCATAGTCTGATTTTGTAATACCAGTCTGTCTTATGATTGTCTTCAAAACTAGGGCCGGGCAGCATTTGTTAGAGTAATGACTGCAGGATGGTACCCATTGTCTCAGTTATGTGCTATTTATCTTGGTCTGCATGTAAGTTTTGAGTAGACTTGACATACTATTAAATGACTGATGGCCCCTCTAACACATTGTCTGCTCTGGAGCAGGGTTGCCTTTGAAGTAGTACCCTGTAGGAAGTAAAGAGACTATTTGCTCTATTAAAATTCCTTGGTATTTCCTCTGTTTAACCACAGGCCACTTCCCCTCTGCCACTCTAAACACTGCAGGGACACTGACTGATTGAAAAGACACAAGCCCTGAAGTGATTGTATCCTATTCAAATAGATACTCTTATTGCAGGTTATTTATAGGTAGTGTCTAATTAATGTATGTTAAGGGCATGAATAAATCTTAACCTTCCTTATACAGAAAGTAAAAATGTCTAGATTGCATTAAATGAAACAGTTGAATTGAGGTAATTCTCAGTGGCATAAATAAACAATCTAGAAAAGTATCAGTTAACCTTTACTAGTTGTTTAAGGAGAAATAAGATGTAAGTAGCTGGGTGTTTGTATGTAGATTTAGATACACAAGTTGGATACTTTCCGCTGCCAAAACTATGACTGTGTGGTGCTCTTCTCACCCAAACGAGTTTTTATTGTTTGAATGTTGTTTTTGAAAATCTGTGTTTCACCCTGGTACATTAATGCAGTAATACTCATCTTCATTTCACTCTACAAAATACAGGTTTAAGTTTCCTCAGTATTTTGTAGGAGTAAAAGCTTGACTTGATGAGAATGTTTTACTGAACTATGATTGAAAGAATGTGGTGAGGAAGTATTTGGTGTTTTGGTTCATAGCTTCTGACAGCATTGTTAATAATGTTTTCAAAGCTAAAGTGTTCAGAGATGTGTTTTTTTAAACCACTTCCATTGTATTAATCACTTTCTCTAGTAATATTCTGGCATTTGTCTTGCAAGATCAACATATGTTTGCAGCAGGAAAGAAGTTAACAGCAGGATGAGTAACTTAACGTTACTGTTGCGGAGAATTATCAGTGATTTCAGCGGGCCCAGGGTTTTAGAATTTGGATTGACTTTCCTACATCTGGGATTTCTTTCATTGATGTTTAACAGAAATTTTAATGTATTCCTACATTGAATGTTATTTCAGATTGAGGTTCACTTGAAGCAGAATAGTATTGCAAAGTAGCTTTCCATATGGATAGTCTTTCCATATGCATGGCCGTACTACATCATATGCATACCTTTATCCAGAAAAAATAAATCAGGGAAGGGCCCCTTTTAATCTAGAATAAGTATGTCCACATGGGAAGCTCTTCTGGAAAAGCAGTCTCTGAATTTTTTTCATGCTATAAACAAGCCATAAAGTGTACAGAGAAGACAGACGGGGACTCTGATGAGTTGAATGTATTTCAGATTCATTTATTTGGTGTTAAACACATGAGCAACTTTACTCTCAAGTTGTTGTGTAGATTCTAATGGGACTGCACACATGAGTAATTTTTTTCATGTGTTTAATTCCTCTGAAGTTCCTGGCACTGAGCCATGTTCAGTATAAAGCTTAAATTTAATGAGACTGTAGGATGAAAAAGAATAAATAATACAGCATTTTAGCAGACACCCACCTTATTCCCCCCCATTAGCAGAGAGTTGTACTTTCCTTTGCTAAGCAAAGCTTATTTTATGTACTGGGGTTCTCTGTTCCTGAGCATTCTTCCCTGAAACTCTCCCTCTGTCATCTTTATTTAAGTAGCTTGCTATTTCCTTTTCTGTTTCAGAGCAGACTCTGAAGACCACCATTTCCTACCGTTCCACTGTCAGGAGCATTGCCTGTCTCTTTATTCTTTAGCCTCATGCTGTTATGTCCCTACATTTATCCCGTCAGGCATCCCTCCCAGAACACACTTATTCTTTACAGGATTTTCTAAGCACAGAGCTAGGTCATACTGAAATAATTTTCCCAACTAAATACATGTTTTGGGAACTTTATTTAGGAGGAAAAATACCCTGTAAAATGATAAGAGATAATTTACCAAAGTTTAAATTTCTCCCCTTTTTTAATTATTATTTTCTAACAGTTAAAATCAGATTTTCTCTTGCAGAGTAGTTACAAATTGTAAAGGGTATTGAGCTGAACGCAGACCTAAGTTGAAGCATGGTGGAAGGTGTTAATGTTTGCCATCAGGGTGTTCTTTAATCTAACACTTCCAGAGTTGGCTGAAAGCTCTGCAGACCAGATGCCAGCAGTTCTGTATTCTCCATTTTTTATGAGTTTTTAGAATCAGTAGATTTCTCTCCTTTGGCCTATGGAAGAATGTGATAGTCTTTCAGAATTGATTCGATGTGTCATTTAAAGCATAGTGTGTTTCTCTGATTGGATACAATGCAGTATGTTGAGTGCAAGGCTTTGCAAGCATGGTCAGTCATGCAGGTAGGCATCTGTATCACTTTTGTTTAGCTTAAAATTTGGCTTCAAGCTCATTCCAGGTTTGGTGATTTTTAAGTTTCATTTATCAAGTAATGTAGTAGAGAATGTGACCCTATTTTTACTGCAGTGTCAGAAAGTACTGATGACCATCTACCTATTAAAGTTGACTTAAAAATGCACAAAGTGTTTATTTAGCTTACTTAGTGCTTATTTAGATGATTCTATGATTCTGTGAATGTTTCCTCAGGAGCTCCGGGGCTATGCAGTTTAAATACTGGGTTTTCAGAAATCATATTCAGACACAGCACCTAGAGAACAAAATAATAGAAGCATTAGCCTGCTTATGCAACTGAAACTAGCTCTCAGTGTTAGCAAAATGTCTATTCCCTTGCATGTTTCTGTGGAATTGGGGAATTTGAATGTGATTCTAATTCATAGGCTATTGACTTATGATCTAGTTGAAAATGCCCCTGCTCATTGCAGAGGGGTTGGACTAGATGATCTTTGAAGGTCCCTTCCAACCCAAACTGCTCTCTGATTCTGTGCCTTAACAAGGTCTCTGCAGCTGAAGTCTAAATAGGACTGTTACAGACCTGATTAATTTCCTCTCTAGATCATAGTTTAGATGTTGAAATCCACTCACTGCCTTACTTGCCCAAAAATCTGCTTTTGAGTAAGAGTAGTGACTGCTGTATCACACTTGGTAATCTAAAAACTTGAGACACTTATTTAAGAACAAGTTCTGCTTTAATAGATTAATACTTTATAGTCCACTGGTGAAAAGCTGTTAAGCTCATGATTAGATGATGCTGACTTTTCTGTAGTTAATTATTTGGTAATGTTAATATAACAAGGATGTTACTTAATTAAAACTGCAACATTTAAAGGGTGTTTAATAAGGACCAGCTGTCCTTTCCGACAGATCAGTCTAAAGATGATGAAACAAAGCTTTGATGTTAGCTTGCCTGCTTAATTCTGCTCTGAGGCTGAATTTTACCAGTAAATTCAGCATGCT